TAAAACTCACGCAGCACAAAATAGATTCATTGGTGGGAGATGGGGATGTAATATTTACCTCACAGAAGATTCCTTATTTACAGAAGGGCTCAGGCAGGATTCCCTTCAACAGAGACCCATTTGAATTCATTTTCGTGTGTGTATGTGAGAGAGAGAGAGAGAGAGAGAGAGAGCTCCTTGTCCTCTGTTTCTGCTTCATCAGGGTATAATGAAAAAGCAGTGGACTGGAGGCTACCCTTGCTTGCCATCACTCAGGTCGGTTCTGCTCACAAAGACCTAGAGTAACTATTTCATTTATGACCCGAACTCAGACACCTCTAAGGGGCAAAAGGGGTGCTCCAGAACCACAGTCACAAACCAGGATGATCTCAGGAAAACCAGGGTGTCCGGTCTCCCTGCTGAGACTCTCCCTGAGTTTTAGTTTCTTGACTTGAAAATAGGGAGGTGAACATGGCATCCTCAGAAGGAAATTTCTGGAATAACTCAATTAGGAAAATACAGGGTCCGTTGTCTCTTGTGAGGTTCAGAAAACAAAGCAGAATGGGTTTAATCATTTATTAGAGTAACATTAAATGAGAACAAGCAGAATGAAGGTATTAGCACAAAATGTGATAGTTTTATGTACACACACACACACACACACACAGATCATATATCCAGGAATATTGCTGTAACCCACTTTTACGGCATAGAAATAGTGACAAGGGGCTCCTTTTCCTTGTCTTATGACTTAGGTGCCTGTGAATGGCTGGAGACACAGATGCCGGGGCTAGCGCCCAGGTGAGGGTCTCCCATGTGACTGTATGTGCATATGTAGGTACTGGATCAGACGTTAGAACGGAAAACAAAAGACGTCAGATGAGAGATGGAGGCAGACTGAATTCAGGAAGGCACCGTGCCCACATGTCCTGAAGCCCCACCCCACACTCTAGTTCTGAGTGGAAGCCAGGGAGTCAGCCAAGCTATGCTGGAATGCCAGGTCTCATCCTTAATAAGAACTCAAACTCCTGGGCCTCACTGGGAAAACAGATGGCCCAATATACCCCAATGAAAAACCCTCTTGCAGAAAGCTTCTGTGTCTCCCGTTCCTTTCCTGAATTAGATCCAAACGGTGACTAAAGTGTCCTCAATGGAGGGCAACCAAGGCTATTCCGGAAAGAGTGATGGAGAAATTTCTTTCTTTTTCCAGAAAGCTCTGCACCTTCTGTGTAGACGACAGCCGGCAGAGGGCCAGGCTCTAAAATTGAAGGAAGGAGAGCAGGGCTGGTGTCCAGAGCAAAAAGGCTCCCACAGGGACAGCCTTTCTCTCTCTCTCTCTCTCTCTCTCTCTCTCTCTCGTCCTCTCATCAACTCCCTGCAGAAGTACCCTGCTGTCAAGGCGTGCTGGGAAATAGCCCTGTCCATCCTCCGACACCAACCTCAAAGCCAAGTTTTTCAGAAATAAGGCAGGAATCAACATTTTCTTCTGGGTAAAGTCCCTCCCTCTTCCTTTCATCTCATCGAACTGGTTTGGGTTGTTGTTGACTTGTGTATATAAGAAGCAACCACAGAGTTCATTTGTCCATTTAGTCCATAGCCACTTGTCGAGGAGGTAATGTGTGCTGGCCACTGTTCTGAGAAGCGGGCCGCACTGGTAAATGACACGGCTGTGGTCCCCATGCTGACGGCATGGACGGCCACGGAGGAGAGACAGGAAAGAGACGAGCAAATAAATGTGAAATTATACACTCTGTCAAGTCACGGAGGAAAAGAACAGGGTGAAGTAAAAGAGGATAATGCAGGGGAGGGGAGCGGGGACAGGGGGAGTCGTGGCAGCGACGGGGGAGGCCTTTCACGATGCCCAGCATCCGGGCCATCTCAAATAAAGCAGTGTGCTGACGAGGCAAACAAATCCAGTGTGTTTTGACAACTCTGCTGGTTTCCCTTCCAGCCAGATGGGTGTTTCTGAGCCCTTTATGGAAATTCTAGAGCTGTGAATTGTCCCTGAGCCCCAGACGGGCACCAGGGTCTTAAAGGGGCTCCTGGATTCTTCGATGAGCCATATGTATTTTGAGTGCCTTTTCTTTGGCTGTTATAAGGAGGCAAAAAATAAGACAGACATGAAACTCATTTTGCTCTTCACCCAAATGAGCCTCTCCCACCATGGCTGGGCTATTTTTTTCTGACCCTAAGAGGCCATATTTCTCCGCATTAGCAGAAGGGAAATCCTGCATTGCACCTAAGGAGAAAGAGGGTGACAAAGAGGGGGCGCCTGGGTGACTCAGTTGGGTAAGTGTCCGACTCTTGATGTCAGCTGGGGTCATGATCTCAGGGTTGCAAGATCAAGCCCCGAGATGGCTCCATGCTGAGTGTGGGGCCTGCTTAAGATTCTCTCTCGATTCTCTCTCCCTCTGCTCTTCCCTTCCCACACACAGGCACGCTCTCTCTTAAAAAAAAAAAAAAAAAAAAAGAGGGTGACAGAGACATCACAGTTGAAGATCTCATGAAAGCAGGGAAGGCATACTTGATAAAAACCTCTGCTGACCGCAATTCCAGGTATTGAAAAGCAGATGTCAGGGACACCTGGGTGGCTGTCAGTTGGGCGTGTGCCTTTGGCTCAGGTCATGATCCCAGGGTCCTGGGATGGAGCCCTGCATCGGGCTCCTTGATCCGCGGGGAGCCTGCTTCTCCCTCTGCCTGCAGCTCCCCCTGCTTCTGCTCTCTCTCTCTCTCTCTCTGACAAATAAATAAAATCTTTAAAAAAAAGAAAAGCAGATGTCAGTGCCACCACACACTTTTTGTTTTATTATTGTTTGGCACTGTTTAATCATCGATTGGTATTAAATCAACACTTACCCTAGCTCTGCCAGCATTGTTCGAAGCACTTTACAAATACCGATGCACTCAATTCTCATAACAACTCCGTGAGCTAGATCCTATTGTCATCCCCATTTTACAGATGAGGATACTGAGCCACAGAGAGGTAAGGAGCTTGCTTGAGGTCACTCGGCTAGTAAATGGCAGGGCACACTTTTGAACCAGCAGCCTGGCTCCCGGGTCCATCTGCCTGACCACTGTGCTGTGTGTGTGTCCTCTCTCTATCTACTCACAGACCTTAAAAGGTCACACAAATGTATATATGTGACGAATATCTTTGTTTATAAACTAGTATCTCTTTCATGGTTAAATAAATGATTTTAAGATGGGAGCATTTAAAGGTCTCAAGGCTGTCTGGTGCCTTTGGCAAGGAGAAAGGATCAATTAAGCAATCTACAAACAGAAGTGAAAATCTTCCATTATAACATTGTCATGTAGCCTCTAATTTTACCTCTGTTAGGGCACGCACATACATGATAATGCTGGAACTGAAAAGCTAGGGGTTTATTCTTTGGGGGTTCCAGAAGATAAGCTCCTAAATCCCTACATTTACTTCTAAGCCCACTTCTCTCCATCTCCCTGTTACTCTGGGCTCAATCTCTATGGAGATAGTATTACATGTGCTTCAGAAATGACACTAGAGGGGCGCCTGGTGGCTCAGTCATTGGGCGTCTGCCTTCGGCTCAGGTCATGATCCCAGGGTCCTGGGATCGAGCCCCGCATCAGGCTCCCTGCTCCCTGCTCCGCGGGGAGCCTGCTTCTCCCTCTCCCACTCGCCCTGCTTATGTTCCCTCTCTCGCTGTGTCTCTCTCTGTCAAATAAATAAATAAAATCTTTAAAAAAAGAAAGAAAGAAAGAAACGACACTAGAAAAAGCGTATTTTTCCTGTTTTGGAGCCTTGGTGTGGGTGAATTGGGGTTTTCCACTCAGCTTGGAAAAGGCCGAGAAGCTGCCTTGCTGGAAAAGTTTAGCTGCCCAGTTTTATTTTGCTTTGTCTTTGCTGTCTGCTACCAGCAAGATGAACTCATCCTGAGGTTTCGCATGGAAACTAATTTTGAGTTTCTTCTGCTCTTGTAATTTGCCTCTTGCCCAAGACCAGAATCCATTAGCCGTCTTGGTCCCAACACCCAGGCACCGTCCTTTGCGATTCAACAGCAGAGGGTGCTGTGGGCCTGTGATTGCCCAGGCCTCTGCCAGGGAAATAAAAAAAGAGGACTACAAGAGCCCCTGCTAGTTCAGCTAGCCTGAAAGAAGACTTCTAATCATCTTGTTCCCTTGTTGCTCCGAAGACTTTGTCCGTGGATTGTGGGGTCATCAGCCGTTTCCCAAAATGCAAGCAGGGAATCAAGAGACAAGGTGTGGCCTTCTGGAAGGGATTTGTCGTTTGTGTTTTTGAGTTTTAACCCTTCTCTGATGAAATAAATGCTCGATATTTTATGCATTTACATCCACCAAGACCAGAGATTTTGAATAATGCTGGGTCCTAACTTAATTCAGAAAACAGTATTCATTATTTCCATTTTCCAAGGCTCCCACTGAATTTCTTTGTACTGATTCTATCAATGGCTACAAGACAACAGATGGCTTTTTTTTAAAAATTTCTTCTTAAGCTGAGGCTTGAATGTCACCTCCACGTTGTCTCTCAATTTTTCTCCATTTTCCTGAAATTCTGCATCATTTTTTCTTCTCTCCTTGACTTCCTCCAGCCTTTACCTCTTGATTGTTGATGGAAAAAGTGGACGGTCCACATTTCTGGCTATTTTACTTATCTTTTGCTCTAGGCAAGTTTGCTTAATAAGAAGCTAGATGTTCTCAGAGATAAATCAGTGGGTGATTTTTTTTTTTTAAGATTTTATCTATTTGAGAGAGAGAGAGAACACAAGTGGGAAAAGGGACAGAGGGAGAGGGAGAAGCAGATTCCCTGCCCAGCGGGGACCCCGGGATCATAACCTGAGCCGAGGTCTGGTGCTTAACCAACTGAGCCACCCAGGTGCCGCAGTGGGTGATTTGTTTTTACAAAATTCTTCACAGTAGGCTTTCATGGCAAGACACGCTGATGAGTTCATAATACAACCGGATGGACACACCTTGAATTTGTTCACTACTTCCTCCAGGCATAGAGAACGTCTATTTCAGAAAACTGGCTTCCACTGTTTTTATGCAATTTCACAGACACTGAGAGGTTCAAGGGAGATGGGGATGCACAGGGAGCTTGAGCAACACGTGGAGGAAGTTGTGACAGCCAAGACTGGCCTCTGTGGTATCATCAGTCACCTGGAATGTAAACTTGACAACATTCTAGACATGAACAAAAGAGAGATGCTGGCTGAAGGACTCAGCAAGCTTACTGCCTCCACTCCCTTTCTGGAACAAACAAACAACATTTGTTTTCATTTGACGTGTTGGAAAAACCCCAGCAAAACAAGAGAAGAATTCAAGAAAGAGGAAAACAGCATTGTTAAGAAACTGAAACTGACTGAGAACTTCAGGTAAAGACATTTCGAGTGACACCTGCATCCTAAGACGAACAGTGAAATCCTCTGAGAGCTGATCAGAAACTTCCAAATGTTCAAGAAAAGTCACAATCTGAAATAAAGCAAGCTTTAACTCGGAAATGAACTTGAGAACCGACAAAGCAGAAGGAGCAGCATTTTCTACACCAGCAAGGCCATGCCTCCGTTAGTCGGGTAATTGAGGGCATGGGCGGCAGGGCAGCAGGATGGTGGATATTCTAATTCTGCATACAACCATTTTGGATCTTTTCTTTTGTTTTCTTTTCCTTTTCTCTTCTCTTCTTTTCTTCTTTTCTTTTCTTTCTCCCCCCCTTCTCCCTTCCTTCCTTCCTTGCATGAGAGAGAGAGTGAGGGAGAGAGAAAATCTCAAGCCAGCTCCACACTCAGCAGGGAGCCCAAGGTGCAGCCTGATATCACGACCCTGAGATCATGTCCTGAGCCAAAACCAAGAGTCCGACTGGGCCACCCAGACAGCCCAATCTTTTTTTTTAAGATTTTATTTTTATTTATTTGACAGAGAGAGAGAGACAGAGAGAGAGGGAACACAAGCAGGGGGAGTGGGAGAGGGAGAAGCAGGCTTCCCACAGAGCAGGGAGCCCGATGTGGGGCTCGATCCCAGGACCCTGGGATCATGACCTGAGCCAAACGCAGACGCTTAACGACTGAGCCACCCAGGTGCCCCTCTTTTTTTTTTTTAAGATTTTATTTATTTATTTGACAGAGAGACAGCGAGAGAGGGAACACAAGCAGAGGGAGTGGGAGAGGGAGAAGCAGGCTTCCTGTGGAGCCGGGACCCTGATGCGGACTCGATTCCAGGACCCTGGGATCATGAGCTGAGCCGAAGTCAGATGCTTAATGACTGAGTCACCCAGGCGCCCCACACCCCAATCATTTTGGATTTATAATGGTTGCTAACATCAGTCGTTTCCCCATGATGTGCTTTGTTTTTTCTTTCTTTCCTTCTTTTCTTTTTTCTTCTTTCTTCCTTCCTTCCTTCCTTCCTTCCTTCCTTCCTTCCTTCCTTCCTTTCTTTCTTTCTTCTTTCTTTCTTCTTGTCTTTGTTTCTTTTATCCTTTGGCTGCTTTTTAAAGGATACTTTTATAAGGTATTTTTAGCTGATGTATTCAAATTATTTACCAATTACTATGGTGTGAGCACTAACCAATTTCAACAAATCTTTACCGAGTGCCTACCATGTGCCAGGCACAATTCTAAGTGCTTGGAATATGTCAGCGAACAGGACAAATCCTGCCCTATTATGGCTTATATTTTAGTGATGCAGACACACAGCAAACCATAAATCTGATCAACACGGGAAAAAAAAAGAAAAGACAAAAGGGAAGGGAAGGAGATTGGGAACACAGAGGGTGGCGGGGGAGAGGAAGGTAGTAGGGTGGGTTGGCATTTTAAATAGGGTGGTCATGAGGATGCCTGGGTGGTTCAGTCGGTTAAGCCTTCAGCTCTTGAAGGGTCCTGGCATCGAGCCCCCAGTTGGGCTCTGTGCTGAGTCTGCTTAGGATTCTCTCCCTCTGCCTCTGCCCCTCCCCCACTCTAAATAAATAAATAAAAATTTTAAAATTTTATTTATTGATTTGTCAGAGAGAGAGCGCGCGCGCGCGCGCGTGAGCACAAGCGGGGGGAGGGGAGGGGGAGCAGAGGCAGAGGGAGAAGCAGGCTCCTCGCTGAGCAAGAAGCCCGAAATGGGACTAAATCCCAGGATCCTGGGGGCATGACTTCAGCCAAAGGCAGATGCTTAACCGCCTGAGCCACCCAGGGATCCCAATAAATAAAATCTTAAAAAAATACCCAACCTTTTCTTTAAAAAGATTTTTTTAATTTATTTGACAGAGAGAGACAGCGAGAGAGGGAACATAAGCAGGGGGAGTGGCAGAGGGAGAAGCAGGCTTCCCCCTGAGCAGGGAGCCCGATGCAGGGCTCGATCCCAGGACCCTGGGATCATGACTGAGCTGAAGGCAGACGTCTAACGACTGAGCCACCCAGGCACCCCAAGATTTTATTTTTAAGTAATCTCTATACCCAAGGTGGGCCTGGAACTCACTACCCTGAGATCAAGAGTCCCATGCTCCACCCACTGAGCCAGCAGGCACCCACATAAATACATACTTTTAAATTGGGATTATACCATCATTGATAACTTTTCATTACAACTCTTTTTTAAATTTTATTTTAATATTTTAATATTTTATTTATTTATTTGAGAGAGAGCAAGAGAGACAGTACATGAGCAGGGGAGAGGAGCAGAGCAAGAGGGAGAAGCAGACTCCCTGCCCAGCAGGGAGCCCGACTGAGGGCTGACTGGGGGCTCTGTCCCAGGACCCTGGGATCATGACCTGAGCTGAAGGCAGATGCTTAACCAATTGAGCCACCCAGACGCTCCTTATTACAACTCTTAAGGCTAGGGATAAAAAAAGCACAGTGGCCCGCCAGCTCTTCATATTTCTCACATTTTTTTAACCTTTTAGAGAAACCCTAAGAAATCTCAGACGAAATATTTGCCTGAGGCTCAGCAGCTCTTTCAGGTTTATGTTGATTCCTTTTTGTTATAGTCAACACGTCTTATTTCAAAATGTTAGCAGGAGTTATTTCTGGGTGATGAGATTGGAGTGCTTTTCATTTTCATCTTTATGCTTCTCAGTGGTTCCCAGCACTTCTGAAAGGAAATGGTCTTCTTTATCATTCCTTTGTGGCACGCTTTTTAAATGAGAAACAGCAAGAACTATAGTTTTAAAAAATTAAAATATCCTGCAAGAATAAATGTCAGCTTCCCAAAGGACAACTTAGCAAAACAGTAACAACAAAAACCAAACATTCCCTGAAACTCCCTCAGTTAGGATTTTACTCCAGAAGGAGTCATTGTCTTAAAAGATGCCCGGCTCTCAGGAGGCTTCTGGGAACAATGTGCATAAGGTTGCTGACTCTGGTCATTGTGTGTGTGTGTGTGTGTGTGTGTGTGTGTATGTGTGTGTGTGTGTGTGTTGGGGGTTTGAGTTTCCTGATGTTCGTGGTGGGAGGACAGGTTGGTCAACAGCAGCAAGGAGACCAACCCAACAGACATTGCCGTCAACAAAGGGATGGCATGATGGTGGCTGGCAAGGCGTAGGAGGATACAAAACAGAAGGAAATGTGATGGCATTATTGATGAAGGAATAAAAAACTAGTAGCAGAAATATTGTAGAGAAGGTAATTACATTAAAAGATTTTTATGTTGGAAAAAAAGTAAATTCGATTGGTCTGAGCTCATGATCTTTAACAAAAATGTGTTTTTCTGTTCGGACCCTGACTGGAGCCCATCCACAGCAGGGCTTGTGCTACCCCTGCCCTCCCTCCCCCCGACTTACCCGAGGACGATTCTGCATCCTGGGGCAAAGCAACTTTAGAAGGGCCTAGGAAGCAAGATTTCAGACAGTAGTGGTGGAAGGATAAGGAAGCCACTGACCAAACTGTAACAATTTTGACGTTAAAAAGGGAGAAGTAATTATGATGAACTAAAATAAGTTAAGCAGGGCGCCTGGGTGGCTCAGTCGTTAAGCGTCTGCCTTCGGCTCAGGTCATGATCTCAGGGTCCTGGGGTCGAGCCCCACGTCAGGCTCCCAGCTCTGTGGGAAGCCTGCTTCTCCCTCTCCTTCTGCCTGCCCGATCCCCCCTGCTTGTGTGTGCTCTCTGTCAAATAAAAAAAAAAAAAAACTTTAAATGTTAAAAAAATATGTAAGTTAAGCATGTGAAGATCTCAAAACAAAAAAGGTGATATATGACTTATGAAAAGGGTCAACACACCAAGATATGTTAAATTTTAAAAAAGGTTTTATTTATTTATTTGAGATAGAGCGAGGGAGAGAGCACAAGCAGGGCTGAGAGGCAGAGCGAGAGGGAGAGAGAAGAATCACATCTCTCTAGAGAGATGACGAAGCCTCTGGAGCACACTGTTCATCATAATGAGATATGATAAGGTCCATTTTTAATAATCGTAACAGACCTGGTCAGTACTGCATATTCAAGTGACAAGACAGTGGGATTCAGTGAAGCAAGCAAGATTAGTAGAAAGCACTATTCTATTCTGGTGAGCGACACCAACTTCTAAGGGATGGATTTTTAAGATCTTATTGATGTATCTAGTCAAGTTTAAAAATGGAAAACGGAAGCTCGGGTTGGAAAGCGTGACCAGGTTCCATATGCCGGTCCCAAATCAGTCGGTTTACAATGCAGAAACTGAACCTTGGCTTCTCAGAGATATTATTATTTTTCCTCTTGGTTCTGAAGATTACTGTAACTCTACAAAGATAGAGGAGTAAAAAAAAAAATTGCTCTGAACCCAGGAGAGTGTCAAACAACCTTGGAAAGGGAACGCAGGAAAGTAAAACAAGTGTATCCAGCGATGGTACAGATGAAACTTGACATCACGGTATTAATACTTACCTGTATTAAAACAAGTTCTGTATCACTGTGGTGTTTTGTATGTGTCTTCTCTGCATTCATGATGTCCAAAGCATCATAAAGGTGACAGGGAACTGCAGTGTCACCGGGGCTGAGGCTATGTGGTAAAAGCAAACATCCTCCGTTGAAAGCCCATGGGGCTGAAGTAAGATTCGGTTAACACTATCTCTCTTATCCTAGGACCTGGGAGGGTCAGTCTCTATCTTGCAAAACAGCAGCAAGCCTTCGTCATGACTTTCTAGAATGGGTGGCTGAGAGAGTTGGTTCCCCACCTACTGGGGAGTTAACTTCTCTTGGGAAGAGGCCAGTGTTTCTATTCTGCATAAGCCTACCTTGTCCTTTGGGTTTTCACCCTCTTTCTAATTTTCAGTTGGGAGTGCCTGAGAATGTCTTCTCTGCACATCTATAATTTGTTAGCTGGTTTTCCAACTCTTCAGCAAATAGCTGTATATTGTCCATTATTATTCAACAAAGACATACTGAGGCCTCCTTCTGCCTTCCCTGAGGTCACTCCCAATGGTGATCAAAGCAGGCGTGGCGCTGCCTTCTTGGGGCTTTGAGTCTAGTGGGGAAGACAGACGTGACTCAGAGAATCACAAACTGACGCGCTGGAGAGCAGGGTGAAGGGAGAGCTGTGTAGGGGCCCAGCCGGGGCTCTCCGTCTGGGCTCGGGGTAGGCGGGCAAGGGAGTGATTTGGACTGGAGAGGGACTTGTGAAGTGG